GCATGAGAATGCTAAAATACTTATATAAAGCCTAAATTATTCACCTAAAATGCTATTTTTTCCCCTCAAATTACTGTTTTATTTCAAATAAAATCACTTGAGCACACATCACATGGAAACTACTACTTACAAACTCATAAGTAAGACTTAAGACAGCATAAACCTAAATGTTTAGCATGGCTAGAACCTAAGAGTCTGTTTTTGTCTTGAGGTTTACCTTACACAAAATATTTATTGAACAACCAAAAGCACCATCTATCCCACATTCGCAACTGCACACACACAATCATGTGTACAGGCACATTAACATTCACTGTTACTTTAATAGGACAGCACCTCCTTGAGATCTTGTCCTGACCTTCTGTTACTCATCATTTTCCCCATTAGTACTTTTCCATGTGCCAAAATAGGGACTGACTCACTGATTCATCTATTCCCCCTGAGCTTTCCTTGCCTGTCCAGCTGTGGTGAAACATCTCTTTCACTGAAGATACACCAAAGGCCTTCCAATCACACTTACCAACCCACATTACATTAGAGGGGAGCTGAGTGAATTCAGGTCTCATTTAGATGGTGAGCTGTTCTTCAAACGTCTGAAATGTCTACATTGCTCCTCTCACACGCCTGATGTCATGTCTGAGTTTCAGACCTCTGATCATTCTCTCCAAACCAGGAAGATCTGAATGTCCTCATCCACTTTTACAAAATTAACTAAGACCAAACCCAATCATGGTCACCAAATTAATTTTATTTCTGAATATAATACTTGAAAAATACGGTTTTATTTTGTTAAAACAACCAAAATAAAACCGCCCCCCCCCCCACTGTTTGGTTAGTCTGCTGTGTTGGATGTTTGGCACTGGTTTGTGGGCACCGGCTTTCATTCCGCCAACTGTTAAACAAAAGACTCTGATGCCTCAGAATACAGGGTGGTTCCACTCAGGGATGACTCTAGAGACCCGGATTTACCTCTGCTCTGCCCCATAATAAATGTGTGAGAGTGTAATTAGAGAAATGGAAAGGGTATTTGTGTGTCTGGATTTCTTCTTAGACATAAACAGATGCGTGGCCAAGTTCCTTATGTGGTCAGGCCTGCGCTGAGTAATCATTACCTGTCAGTGGCCAGTGCAGTTAGAGGGATTTTTAGGAAACGGTGACTTTTTTTTGCAGGCATGCTATCTAATTTATCAGAGATGACCCTAGGGTGACCATACATCCTCTTTTTCTCGGAAATGTCCTGGCCGGGATTTCTAAATTACCTAAATTGTCCAGGTTATAGGTGTGTTCGGCTTGAAGCGGCACTGCGCAGATCAATCGGTGTGTGACAACAAAGTACCGCGAGAGCGTTTCGACAGCATGCAGAGTATCTGCTCTCTATAGCTTTCGTAGTACTTTGATGTCAACATTGTCAAAACAATCCCTTTTCACATGACATGTGACTAAATGACTAAAATTGCTGTATTATGCATGCCAGGCCAGTAGATGGCGATGTCAATTTATAAAGAAACACTACATGCCTGCGCACATGTATTCCTATAGACTGAACATGTAATACGCATGCGCATGATGTATACGCATGTACATTTTCATAATTCACACAGAGACACTAACAGTATAGTTTTCAAAAACTTGCACTTTGAAACCAATTTTCAAAAGCTTACATTTTCAGGCTCTAAAACACCATTGTTGTGTAAATTAATGGGCAAAATGTATACAAAGTTTGACATTTTACAACGGTGTCATCTAAACACCACCTTCAGTCAAGTTAATTATGTTACATTAAGTTACATATGTATTCCCAACATTTTATTATGTAAGCTCTATGTTATGCTCAAATTAATTATAGTCATTTTAATGTTAATTAGCCAGACTACATAGTCTCTAAAATGGATTGGGCATGCAGAGAATAAATAAATAAATCTAGCCAAGTGGCCTGATCTGACTTCACACTTCCTGTCCGCTTTCACTTTTCATACTGATCGTCTTGACTACAGCTTTCCCTCTCAGCTCTGTTTGATAAGTTATCCTCAGCAAACCTGTAAGTTTATTAGCCTTGTGTGTTTCCTGTGCCACTGCCCTGCATCAATGTCATCTTTCAGAGCCATACGTGAGCAGGGGGGAGATCGGCCACAAAGGGATCTTTCTGTAGCTTGCTGCTGCGCTCCTGTCTCTGACCCACATGCCTCCCTCTTTCGCCGCATTTCTCAGCAGCTTCTCAAACCCGCAGACCCAGACGGAAACATTGAACAAGTCAGGGAGTTCTTCCCAGCAAACCCCGACCAAGACACGAAAGATGAAGGAAAGGAAAAATATCTCACACTTCAGCATCAGAGGGCATATCCGCCACCTTCCTTTGCTATGGCAATTTTCAAACTTTACTCATGCGGTCTGCACTGAAGGTGCGTTCACATTTACAGTGATTTGCAGTTACAAATAATTCCACAGTTATTTATTTTCAGTGACAGTTGAAGCTGATCTGAGAGACAGAAACCGCTGATACAAGTATCACTGTAAATGTGACTTTTATTTGTTTATTAAAAAGAGTGAGTTTTGTTGCTTTGCTCACTCGGACCATTATGACTTAGCAGTCCTAATTTAAAGTTTATAAGCTTATCTCTGATTCCAGTTAAAATTATCCAGCTGCATAGTAGGAATTACAGTTTCAACTCCCCCGTACATTCCTTTAAATGTTGTGCTAAAATTCCAACATCTCATCAATCTCACTTAAAGAAGAGTTCAAGTATGTGTCACTGACCGTGTATCATAGATTGCGTCAATCTGCAATATGCTTCTTGTTTACATGTTCAGTCTTTCAACACTTTAAGTTCTAAGCTGTGCTGATTGATTCTAAGGAGACTTGCATGGTTTGACAGGACAAGTGTCATGTGATGGGCATGTTAGTGTTCTGATCACACATCTATATTACATTAGAATGACAATCGGAATGTGAATGTTAAAGTGTAAAAGTGTAAAAAGGAAATGTTTATATTTTTTTCAAGCTGCACTGTGTTTAGAAGTTGAACAGTTTATTTAACAAATCATTGGACTGTTCCCAATTTTGATCTGTCTCAATCATATTTTTTTTGCAATTTTTTTTTTTTTTTTTACACACAGGACAACACATTTCAACTGAATATTAAAAAGCCGTTTTCTCTTTAAAACATATTTTATTATTTCAACAAATTTCAAAATAAGTTAAGAGACCTGGCTGAGACATTTGTAAGGAACAAGAGAAAGTAAAACATTTGACATCTCTGAGACATTTTCAGTTCAGAAAATAAGGCATATTTACCTCATATTTTACAGTAAAAACCCCTTCAGCCCCCCCCCCCCCCAAAAAAAACAAAAAACAATCACTGACCGTGTATCATAGATTGCGTCAATCTGCAATATGCTTCTTGTTTACATGTTCAGTCTTTCAACACTTTAAGTTCTAAGCTGTGCTGATTGATTCTAAGGAGACTTGCATGGTTTGACAGGACAAGTGTCATGTGATGGGCATGTTAGTGTTCTGATCACACATCTATATTACATTAGAATGACAATCGGAATGTGAATGTTAAAGTGTAAAAGTGTAAAAAGGAAATGTTTATATTTTTTTCAAGCTGCACTGTGTTTAGAAGTTGAACAGTTTATTTAACAAATCATTGGACTGTTCCCAATTTTGATCTGTCTCAATCATATTTTTTTTGCAATTTTTTTTTTTTTTTTTACACACAGGACAACACATTTCAACTGAATATTAAAAAGCCGTTTTCTCTTTAAAACATATTTTATTATTTCAACAAATTTCAAAATAAGTTAAGAGACCTGGCTGAGACATTTGTAAGGAACAAGAGAAAGTAAAACATTTGACATCTCTGTCTGAGACATAGTTCAGAAAATAAGGCATATTTACCTCATATTTTACAGTAAAAACACCTTCAGCCCCCCCCCCCCCCAAAAAAAACAAAAAACAATAAACTAGCATTAATTTAAATCCTGCCATTTCTTGTTGTGCAAACATACAACGTTATACTTATTTTGTTTACAGTATATATAATTACCTTCATGTCTTTTAAAAACATGGTCAGCTGCTACATGGAAGAACCATTGAAGTCATATGTTATTTCGTTGCCACTAACAGCTCTCAGATTTGTAGAAATATAGATTTTTGTACAGTACAGCTCACCTTCCTTTTTACCAAATTCCTTTGGTATTTATGAGTTTAGAGCACCTGAGTGCACACTGGGTTGAGGGTTTGTCAGTTAGAGAATCCCAATGAAAGCAAATTGATATTGGTCATAAAAAGGTGTAACTCTACATATTGATGGTACAGTTGAGTTTTTAGACATTTAATGTGCTGTTGAAGAAGAATAGCCCTAAAGTTTGCCAGAAAGTAATACTTCATAGGGTTTATAAGGGTAACAGGCTTGCACAAAGTTTGCATCATTCTTTGCGGTAACACGGGAATGATTAAAATGTAACGATACAGCACAATTACACAAATAATGTGCATGATTTGCTATTAATTTTGTTGCACTGGCACTAAAAAGCTATCTGTATTTTGTCGGAATGTTAAAAAAAATAAGAAAAATGTGGTGTCCATTTTATTTAAATGAGAATGACTTTAATGCACATCATTTCAAAATTAAAATTTCCAAACTAGTAAATAGGATTTTTTTTTTCTAGTGGGTCTATTATGAACGAGTGCTATTGCAAAACGCCCTGAACCAAAGTTGTTTAAAGGGGTCATATGATGTTGCTAAAAAGAACATTATTTTGTGTATTTGGTGTAATGAAATGTGTTTATGCGGGTTAAGGTTAAAAAAAGGCCTAGAGTGAGCGGAGGCCGGCTTGAGTGAGCGTCGACAAAGGAGCGTCCGGCGGGCTTGCGACAACCACGTGACGACCCCGGGCTGGACTTCGTTTCGTCCACGGTGAAAGCCGATCCGGCGATCCACAGCGCAAAGTTCTAGTATTTCCTCAGCAACCAGCACGGATCAGCTCCAGGCATGATTACTGACCTCACCTGATTTGTTTTTTTGCCCAAGTACAAAATTATGGTCAAATCTCTCATAATTTTGAGTAATGAAACAAGGTTCATATGTATGAAAGTATACCAGAATGCACGTGCGCGTGTATGTGTATGTGTGTGTATGCATCAGTCGACTTTATTAAACTTATGTTGAACAGCATTTTCTCTCGACAGTAGTAAATGTTTCAAAAGACAGCAAATACAAACAGCCACACAACACATAAACCAAGAATAAATCAGTAAAAACAGACAAACAACTGACACTACACAAACATATCAAGGCTAGTAAATTCCTAGTGTAGAACTACTAGAACTATGTGGGAGTCTAAGGATCTATGAAGGACACCGCTATGTAGCGTGTACCGTTGGTCGTAGGTAGTCCTTCGTGAAGGTGAGTGAGTCTACCTGGATGCATGAAGCTCCAACCTTTTCTAGGAGATTCTATGGAACAGTTATATCTGTGAAATCGACAACCTCCACCCTGAAATAGAAGGAAATGAGTCATAAGTTTAACTACATGTGATTCTACAAGGTATTTAAAACCTGTTTTAGAAAACGTAAGACCAGTGTATCAGCTCGCCTGGAAATCTAAGCCCTTGTTGTTGAGAGCTATATTAATGGTGAATGTTGAGGAATCGTGATGTGGTCTTAGATAGGCTTGTCTGTTTGGAGTGTACTTCACCACAAAGTTCATAATGGCATAGCTCTGAAAGAAAAAAATGTAAAAAGGGAGACACAATCAAAACCCAAACCTCAAAAGTTTGACAGATTTGCTTACAGTTTTGTGCAACTTTTTTCTTCTGTGGAACAAACAATTGGTGAAGAACCTTCATGTAGATCATAGTTAAAATGTCTATTTTGTTCCTGACATAAAACTATTATGTAACTTTGGAAGACTTGTGACTTGGAAGACTAATGGTACAGTATGGACTACTTAGAGTATATGGTACGTTTAACAGACTTGGTCACTGGTGAACTGTTGTTGAATGGAAGAGAGCATGGTGAACAAAATTTCTAAAGTTCCACTGAAAACATAACGGCGTACGGGTTTGGAAAGACATGAGGGTGAGTAAATAATGCTATATATTTAATTTTGGGGTCTACTATCCCTTTAATGGATGACCCACAAAGAACTCAGACCCACGGTGCCAACTAGAGTTCACATTCCATGAGTCAAATGAACCAGAGAACTAACAGTGCTTATCCAGTTAATCGTGGACAGAGCCCTCCTGAAAGAACAGCATGAGAAGAAAAGTCGAAAATTACAGAGAAAAAGATGACTTGACTCATTCCATGAGTCATATCAACCAAAAACCAAACAAATCTCATCTAGCAAGCTGTGTTTTGGTTGGCTGCTGTAATAAGCCTTCGGAAATCATGCAGATGTGCAATGTACTAAAAAGATACCATTGGCTGACAAAAAAAAAAAAAGTTTAAACTGTGCAAATTATAGAAAATGCCCTACTTATAATAAGCAGCAGCTCAGTGATTGCATTTGAGTGTGTGAAGCCATGAGTCGAATCAATGGATGACTTAATGGATGAACTTCAGGAAGCCTGTCAAGACCATGTCAGGATCATATTTCACTCCACAAAGAGAAAATAAAAGGAGTTTTAAAACAATTGTTCCAATGAACAGAAAGTTACCTTACATTTACTATGATTCATGGTAGTGTCTGATGATTATGTATTTTTCAAACTGGATCAAAACGCACTAATAATGCAAACACTGAAATGCAAAATCTGAAATGAAATCTTCAATAATTAAACAATAATAAAAAACAATATCCTCACACTCAAACTATTTTACATGTGTAGGGATGCACCTGGCCTTAAGTTATCTGCAGGATTTTTTAAAGCATTTAAAGGTAAATGATTTGTTGAAAAGGTGAACATGCCATCTGTGTTTAATTTCACAAAACGCAAACAAAAAGGGTCTTTCTTTGGTTCTTAATGGTTTTAATGGCCCTAAAATGCCCATAATGCCTTACAAAAAGATGAGGTTGAGGTAGAAGAGACAAATTCCCTAACACATGCTCAGACATTCTGATATAACAGCTAATTATGACTCGGTCCAGACCCAGACAGACTGGCTCACCTTGGTATAATAGCCAGAGAAGACCTTGAGAGTGACAGGGGAGATGAATTCTCTGATAAAGTGCAGCCATTCCTTATCGAAATCGATCTGTTTCATATGAATGTCATCTGTCGGGACAGTCTCGTAGCCTCCAGTGATACGCTTGTCCTGCAAAGAGAAAACACAATGACTGGGCAAAAAGTCAATGATAAAAACCTTAAATATTATCAGCAATTGTGCTACTGTGTAAAGTCTACTAAAAGGTAATTTTGTCTATTTAGAAAAACAAAATCTGTTTCTTTTTTGTATTTACACATTTTTAAAGATGTTTTTTTTTATTCATGGCCGATCCCTGTACAATGTGTGCAGACTGTTTTAAGGCCGGCGGGTTTATCTGACCTTGTGTCTTCCACCAGACCATGAACCATAGTTTTCCATCTCCTCCACCAGCTCATCACAGGCTTTCTCCGAGAGCACAGGGAACCAGAAAACATCTGGGCATGGCTGCAGAAACATAAACAGGTGCTTAGTATCATCAGATCAACTTTTGACCTTAACACCCAGCACAAGTTTGACTATTCCAGCATAAAAAATGTTCACTCTAAATAATTCTAACTCATACAAACATCGATGGGAGTGTCATGCAAAGAACAAATGCTTTTCTTTTCAAAGGTGACGTCATGGAAAACTGTACTTCCCATTACTTTTACATATTTCTCTTGCAATCATAACATAAGTAATTACATATAGAAGTCTAAAGGCTACAGCAAAAACAGCTAATGAAGGGATCAGAGAGAAGATGAAGAACGTTCCAAATTACAATATAAAACTAAGTTACAGTTATTTTTGGTGCATGTAACTTGATTAACATTATAAGTGGACTTATATTTAATGATGGTTAATGATGTCCTAATTCTGTTGGTCTAGTTTGCATCTTTTGAGACTGTAAATCCACAGATCCTCCAATCATCCTTCTCAACACCTCAACATCTTGGAAACTGTTGGTTTGAATCCTACCTCCCATGTAGATTCTTTAGGGCAGCGATCTCCAGCCCTGCTCCTGGAGATCTACTGTCCTGGTTGACTGGAGGATCTGTATATTTATAGTCTCAAAAGATGCAAACAAGACCAACAGAATGGAATCTCCAACCCTGCTCCTGGAGAGCTATCGTCCTGCAGATTTCAGTTCCAACCTTGCTCCAACACACCTGTCTGTAATTATCAAGTAACCCTGAACACCTTGACTAGCTGGTTCCGGTGTGTTTGAGGAGCTTAAATCTGCAGGATGGTAGCTCTCCAGGAGCAGGGTTGGAGACCCCTACTTATGGTATCATGGAAGGGAACTGTATCCAAGTTACATCAAGTAACCGCAGTGGTGACTTAAGGATCAGCACTTTGCCTCCTCTTTTTCTCAATGTGCGCAACATTGCTTGGACCCATCATGGACCCATGGATTTTCCTACCACGTCTATGCCAACAACACATAGTTCTACTTCTCGTTCTTGCCTTGGGCTTCCCAAATCACGGCTTGTCTGGTAGACTTCTTGGCCTGGTTAAAAGTAAATCAACTCTTAACTCAACTTCTCAACTCAACCTAGCAAAAGCAGAACTCGTCTTCTAGCAAGCCCACAATTCAGCAACATCGTTCAGCAAGGCCTGTCAGAGAACACCACATCCAGATCAAACAAGAAGTTGCAGGTAGTGTTTGATGATCAGTTCAGCTTCACAGACCATTGCAAAGGCTTCCCGGTCATGTAGATTTGCACTGTACTTTATCAAGAAGATCAGGTTCCATCTGGGCAATCTGCATAGTTCCTTGTTCAGTCAACTCTAGATTCTGGAATAATGCAATGCTCATCAAACGTCTGCCAATTTTTCAAATATATGGTTGTTCACTTGGTCTTCAATCAGACCAAGAGTACAGAACAACCACTGGTTCTACATCTGTACCCTCCTACCTACATTCACTTTCACAAATGTATCCTTATCCCACAAGTCTGGTCGGTAAGTGAGTGAAGCTTTCTAGAATATTAACTTTCTTATCCTGAATATTAACTTTACTAAACCTCCATGCGGGAATGATCTTTCCTACTCTACCCGAACAGCATCTGCTAAATGAATAAATGTAAATGTTTGCTCACCTGCTCCAAGACGTTGTCAGTGAAAATTCGGGTATAGTTGGGATGGATGTATTTCTCTCTCCAGTCCTGTGAAAAAGAAAGAGGATTAGAACTTAAGCCCACTGAGTGACCTGCATTGCAAACAGTGATTAGATCTGCATTAATCCGGCAGGCGGACTAAAACCTAGATGGAGGTCAACACAGACGTATGTTTACCCTGTCAGCACTCCACTTCATTATTGATGACAAATGTAGCACTAAATGAACACTTCTGGACCCTGATGTTTTGGAATTGTACCAGACACTCTGTATACAGAAAACATTCACAAATCACAAATCATCTAGTCACTCACCAGTGGGTTTTCAAATATTTGCCAAAGGTCATTGTTATAATGAGATGTGTTATAGTTGGCAGTCGAAATAAGCCTTCCAAACTCATGACGATTTGTAACATACATGAAAACTCCCTGTGGTGGACAAAGAAAAGGTAGTTAGATACTATAATCTATAATCAAAAAAGTCCAATGTTAACAAAAATTAAACATTGTAAAATGAGCAATAAACAAAACACATCATGCAAATAATTTTAAGTCGATGATAAAAACAAATCACAAATAAGCAGCATAATCTGTGATAATGTATAATCAATAACAATGGAGGACAGATGTTGGGAAGGGCTGTGAGAGGGAATGGAACGGGAACACAGGGAAGTGCTGGGAAAAGTGCAACTCCAGGAATCAACATTCCTGTTTACTTTACTAGAAGCAGGGACAAGGTTTCTTGCATCTAAGTCTGGGAAGGTCAAGACTTGCTCACAGTCTAGGCTTCACTAAAACATGTCTAGCACCAATCTCAAACATATTAGTGTAATTGTTCAAAGCAATGCAAACATACGAAGGTAACAAGTGCTACATAAATACCTAGACTGAGATAAGTCATGGAGGTAGTGAGGGTAAGTTTTATGTTACTGGTACTAGTGTGCTTGGAAGGGGGTTGCTCTTGGATATAGATGTTATTGCGGGAAAAACTATAATGCAGGAAATCTATTAGATCCTTCATTGGCCTTTCCACCACTGTGTAGAATAGTGTGTAGAATTTCATGGTTCAGTGTATATATATAATATCTGGTGCTTTGTCCAGGTTAACCCCATCAGAATAAAGCAGATGTAGCTTATCAAACGTAGCATCACTTTTCCAAAGGGTTCCGCTTGTTAGCTGAACACATCTGTCAGTGCAAGATGTATTCTAAAATTGATATAATTTTAAATCAAATGTTTGAATGCCTACCAGCACATGCACATACATTTATGGAATAGAAAAACCATGAAACAACCACATTGAGCTTGAAATGGAGATTTATGTTTTTCCACATGCATAGTAATTCATCTCAAAATTGGTTCACCAAGTCTTCTGGGATTATATGTTCTGACAACACTGCTTGTGATCTTGAGATTACACATACTGTAATGAACCCCAAGCAAGCAAATATTAAATGTTAGTAAACCTTTCCCTTCAAAAATGAGCGTTTATTACTACATTTATTAATGCGTGGTTGGAATATCACTTTCTAACCATTTGGAAAAGTGATGCCTTGCTTTAAAACATTTGAATCTTAAATTATGCATGATAGAATAATCAAAACAAGAGGAACCTGTGGGGGTCTGAGCATTTGGAATGATTCCGGAGAAGGAGATTCTCTTTCTCTCTGTACTGTCTAAAATGAAGGAAAAGCACCATGTAAATTATATAATGATACATAAACAGAGTACGATACAAAGAGAGAGAGATAGAGATTAAGAAATTAGAATATTAGAGAAGATATGGGCACAGCACATGTACAATATTAAACTCTACCAGAACAGTAGAGATGCCTGCAAACTCTTGTATCGAGGTTTTTTAGTTGATTTTCAGCTCAGAAAAGGGCTATGCGCTGCCTTTAGGTGTCCTAAGCAGTTAGCTGTAGACAGTTAGAAGAACATCATAGTTAGTTATTAGTGGTGTATTTTGTTCAAGGAGGAGTAAAAAGCGCACAGCCAGACATTCCCATTGGATCAAGGTCACATGATGGATGTGAAACAGGGAAAGGATGATGGGCAGAGAACATTTTGAATGCATGACAGAGGCTGTCATAAATGAATGGAGATGCCATGCCTTCACAATAGCACATTGATATACTTTGAATACTTGCCAGTTACATCTTGGTCACAGAGGTGCAGCAGATGTTTCAAGGCATTGAGAAATCAGGCTAAATTGTCATATGCAAACTAATACAGGACAGTTTCTGTTTTTAGAGGTGAATTGCTTGATGATCTACTTATGGAAGCCCATTTCCTCAACTGAATTAAAAAAAGTAATTGTGACTTTATATCATAATGCTGTTTTTTTTTTGCAATTCTGAATTGCGCGATATAATTACAAGTTACAAAGTCAGAATTGCGAGATATAAACTCACAATACTAAGGAAAAAAGTCAGTTTCCCTTTCCCTTTCTCTCATTGGCTGTGAGTGGCTTGATCTCCTTCGGCGGGTCTGAGGAGGAAGTTGTCGCTGATGACTCCATGTCAGAATCAGAATCAGAATGAGCTTTATTGCCAGGTATGTTTACACATATGAGGAATTTGTTTTCGTGACAGAAGCTTCCACAGTGTAACAGAATGACAGTGACAGAACAAAAAACACAGATAATAAAAAATTTAAATAAATAAAAAAATAGAACAAGTAAAATAAGGAATAAAAAATATACAAATCGACAATCGACAATTGTATGTCCAGGTATAGAACAATAGACAGTTGTATGTACAGGTATATTATGTGCAAATTGAAATATAGACTGAGTATGTGTGTTAGATAAATAAGTGTATGAGTGAATAAATAGTGTGTGTTCCACAGTTATTGTCAAGTGTTCATGAGAGGCCTGAGGGAAGAAACTGTGCCTGTGATGGCCTGAGGGAAGAAACTGTTCCTGTGTCTGGCCGTTCTGGTGCTCAGAGCAATTTCAGACTTTTCCACACTGCTGAGTCACTGGAAGAGAATTGAATCCTTATTTTTTCAGAATAATTCCTCTTTGCCACTCTGATCTCCTTTTCCATTGTGTATTTAGCCTGTTTATACAAGACATTGTCCCCCTTCCTGTGAGCAGACATTGTCCCCCTTCCTGTCTTCCTTCGCTGACAGCTTCAGATGCTGAAGAGAGGGCGTGCTCTGGCGAGGACCCAGACACTCTCCCTCCGAAGCAACCAACATGGCCCAGCTTAGACAGCGAGCTGATCTGCGTTCTCTTTAAGGTTATGGAGGACCTCGGCTTTGACTTGTCCCACCCACTGCCACTTAAGACGAGTGGTACCTGCAATGGTCCGCCCCGTTCTTCCCAGGGGTTCACAGCGAACTAACCAGGATGTGGCGTAGCCCTTACTCAGCACATGTTCATTCCTTCACTTCTGCCGCTCTCACCACTGTTGACGGCGCTGAAGAAAAAGGTCGTTCCACATCTCTGCCCTCTATCAGCCCTGGGATTGAAGGCCCATGCAGCTCGCCCATCTAAGCCCTGCAGGACTGCCTCCACTCTGGCAGGCAGGGCTTATTCAGCAGCTGGCCAGGCTGGCTCAGCATTTCACATAAAGTCGGTGCTCCAAGTTTTTCAGGCCAAACTTCTCTGCACCGTGGATGAGTCCAGCCAGAGTTCCAATGCCTTCAAGGAGCTGCGCACAGTGACTGACCTGACTCTACACGCTACAAAAGCCACTGCACAGGCAATTGGAAAGTCCATGGCCAACCAGGTGGTGGTGGAGTGCCACATTTGGCTAAACTTAACGGAGATCAAGGACGCTGACAAGATCACCTTCCTCGACTCCCCATTCTCTCCCAAGGGACTGTTCAGCCCTGCCATGGATGGATTTGCTGAGCGGTTTATGGCAGCACAGAAGTCATCACAGGCAATGCGTCTCTTCCTGCCGAAACACTCCAGTCTGGTGGTTGGTACAGATCGCCAGAAGGCTACGCAATTGTAAGAAAAAAGCCAGAATTGTGATATAAAATGTCACAATTATCTTTTTTTTTATTTCAGTGGCGGAAACAGGCTTCCATATCTACTCTCCTACATTCCTCCCTTATTACAAATCCAGCTCTATCAACAGAATCCATGACATTTTGAGACAATACTTTTGAAACATTAAGTATATATTGTAACAGTTTTCTGGTGTCTTCCATTGTAATGCTGTAAATGTGATGTTTTTCCCCCTGTGATTAATAAACAGCATGCCATTAAAAAAAAATAAAAATAATAATATATATATATATATATATATTTACATTAATTACACAGCAACAAATTACATTAAATTACACTGCACACCTAACTAATTAAAACTATAGACTATTATAAAATGAATGCTATGATTGTTGCTGATCTAGATTAAATATATAATTACTATAATTGTACAGCTTTGTGTTTCAGCGGTCATACCAAGTCTCTGGCATTCCTGCACATGGCCATGTCGGGGTCCAATCTCTCCAAGACAAAGACATTCCTATTTTTGAGCTCATTCCGCAGAGTCTGGCCCTTTATGAGGTAGATGTGGGCCATGAAGGGGATGTTCCACACACCACTATTTACACAAGGAAAGACAAAAGAATATATAAAAAATAGTAACAATGCTTGGTATTATAGAGTCATATTTTAATACAATGTTAAAATAGACTTTGTTAGAGACATGTCCTGGTGAGCAATCGACATGCTAAAAAGTAATCTGAGTTTGAATAGAGTACTCTTTTTGATTCAGAGAAGGATAAATGCAATTTCTTAATGTTCCAATAAGATTATATACAGTGAAATATCAGATCTTAGTCATTTACGGATCACATCCTCCAAGATACTCACACACGATTTCCTTGCACAATGTCAATGTAGTCCTCAGATCTTGCATAATAACCATCCAGGCTCAGGGCTCCCCAAAAGTTGGACCACAATTTTCCATGACGGGTGACAAGAGGGCCAATTATTTTTCTGAGGTCGAAAAAGGAAAAAAAATCAGCACATAAATCAGCAACAGTCCATAAATGTACTATGATAGGCCTATTATGCAAGATAAAATGCTGCTTTTTTGCCACCACAAGAAGACCCTAAAATTATAGGAAAACTGAATGTCGACATTTGATGACCACAAAACAGGTTCAGATTTGCTGTAGTGCTGAATTAGTTTTCCAGGATGACACTATCGGGCAGCATGGTGGCAGGAAGGTCCCCGGTTTGAGCCAGAAGGCCTTTCTGTGTGAGTTTCCATGTTCTCCTGTGTTGGCATGGGTTTCCTATGGGTGCTCAGGTTCAGTGGTTTTCAAACATTTTTAAGAGCGACCCTTTTTTTCTTTTTTTAAATTGAAGTGACCCATATATACATATATTATCACGAAAAAGCTGTCACTCAATTTTAGTTTATCGCGATCACACAACATTCCGTTATGATCAATAAAGCTCTCTACATTGCACAATGAATCTTTTATTTATATTGTGTCTACAATACTAAAAAGTTGTTTTTGCGTTTTGAACATTTTGTTCGGTGAGTGGATTTTAACTTAAACACCTCTGATTGGCTATTGCGTTCAAGAAATCAACAGACATGTCTGTGATTGGCCACACTGCTCAACGCTGCAAAAACACATAAATAAAAAACCTTTGAAGCCGCTCTCCACAGAGCAAACACAAATACGCATTGGAATCTGCCGTGACACAGCTGCCGCTTACTTTCGTTTTATTTTTTTATGTTTATTTTGTTATTAAAGTTACATTTGCCGGTTTCTGCCTCCTTCTTTCATGTGTCTTGAACTTTGTTACATGCATATATATATATATATATATATATATATATTTTCCTTAAATAACCACTGCTCTGATTTCCCGCACAATCCAAAAGACATGCAGTATAGATGATTTGGACAAAATAAATTGCCTGTAGGTGAGAATGTATGTGTGTGTGTGTCCATGTGTTAGCCCTATGACACATCCATGATGTCCCCTGACTGCAGCCCGAGATGCTAAGAAAGGCTCCAGCATCTCTGCGACCCTACAGAGGATAAGTGGTTTGGAAAATAGGTGGGAAGTATTGGTTTAATTAAAGTTTATAGCACATAAGTGGTTACCATGATTCATGTGAAAACATATACTTGTGAGGTTGTGAAGAAGGCATCCTTTTATTCGGGCACATGACAGCAGTTTTATATGGTATTGTTCCTATAATCATGAGAGTGACCCTGGAGTAACACAGTCAAGTCCTTCACCTCTATTGTGACCTTAAACTCAACAAGCCTACAGAATATCACTTTACTGAGGTAAACATGTCATTCAAAACACATAAGTGGAAATTATAGTGTTGGTCAACAATGTGAAAGCAAGTAAGTAAAATTCCACATTTATACGGTTACTGGTTACGATTTCACTCCACAAGCCAGAGGCCAGCAGAGAGAGTTCCCAAGCCTTCTTAAAATATCTGAAAAGGGCTTCCTCCATAGTCATGCGAAAGAGTGCTTAAGGTTGTCACGTTAAATGTGACTGAGTTCAGCCTTGTTTCTTATTTAAAGTCTAGTGGCATTATAAGAGTGCATGCGATGTAGAGCAGACTGTTTCTATGCACCATGGGAAAACAGGAAGCCACCCGTGCTTATTTTTAAACCTTGAGGGATTTGCATTCAGTCGGCTGTAATGTTCCTGTGGTCTTAGCACATGAGAGGTTCAAGTCCGTTCCCTCAGACAAAACCGTTACTGTGGAAGATTCCAGATTGTTTTTTTTTAAATGCTCGGCATTGATTAAAGGGAAACTACCTGTTTTGTTCGATGAGGAGTTTTATGGTCTGTCGGTTGGTGAGCATCACATCCGCATCAATGCTGAAGTAATAATCACAAGAAAGATCCTTCCGGCACAAATCCCTGTTAGAAAATAGTAAGGGTGTCATTATTAATTCTAGCAAAATTCAGGGCAATGTTGTTTCTCTTGAACAGCAATAAAACAGAATTGAGAGAATTTTGCTAAACTTTTTATTTCCTGAAATGTGACAAACTGCACATATTTGCCAAGCTACCAAAGTATGCAATCAAATGTCAGAGATCTGATTATTAACACAAACATTTCTTATCAGATTCGCCCAAGACCAAATTGCATGAGCCTGCCTGAAGAACATATGAGATCAAGTTGATACTTAAATGAAACATAACTGTGTCCTTGGCTATGAAATAAAAATAGATGCCAAACACAGACATGCAGTAGGAAAACAGCACCAGGACCAGAGAATCAACTTGTCTACTGCACATCCTGTAGAGTAGGCCTAAAAAAATATGTGATAGTATAACTTCATACATCCACTAAAAGCTTATGGATCTCAGTTATTTATGACTGTCTGTGCAAAAGTTATCACCAATCCAACAAGTCACACACTGAAGTTTAATATGTGGGGTTAAGGGTTTATTCAAATTACTAACCCTATGTATGAACAACAGTAATAGTGACACTTAAACAAGCAGCAATAATTACTATCTGAACCAGCTAGTTAAAAGTAATTGTAAAAATAGCTCAGAGAAATCAAGTGAGCATGTCTAGCAGCATTTGTTTGCAGATGCCACTTGTTTTTATAGTGTGATAGCTTCTGTGGTAACTGTTTGAAAGCAGACATGTACAAGCAGAATAGTTTTGGAGCTGGGATGGGAATCTTGGAGACAGCAGTGTTTTGGAGAATGCTAAACTAAGAGCAAATAGAAGGGCTCACAGGAGCTTCTTCTGTATTTCTTTGGTACATTGCTATAGGATGGGCAGATTTACTGCTTTGTGGTGAGTCGGATGTTGTTTCTGTGTTTTTTATTTGTAAGGAGTTGAAAAGTTTGCTGACATGTGACAAAGGTTTGCGTTTATCTTTGATCAAGAGTTAGAGCTTGCTCAGATTTGCATTGTAATTTACTTCATTATTTGCATATTTTCGAGAGTGACGCTGAAATTAAAGGGATGTTTACATTCCCATGTTCCTTGCTTCTCCTTGAGTTAAGTTCTCCTCGGGGCCAACAACTTTAAAACTGCGGAATACATCCTTGTTCTCTTCCCAAAACTTCTGTATGTGCTTCTCATGGTAAACCTCCTGAAGAACAAGACATGGAACAAGCACGGTCAAAGACAGACGCTAAAATCCAAAAGGTCAAATGGTTCTCATTGCTTTGTCAGCCAGACACTCACACTGTTATGAACAAAGACATTCAGTTTATCATTGGGATAATCTAGACCCAGGAACCTCTCCAGGAACTCTGGCAGGAATGGATTCGGCTGCTCAATGTATATACCAACAGTCACTTGTGGAAATTCCTGTTTAGATAAAGAGAAAAGTCTGGTCAAACATTAATACTTTTTCATGCAGTTGAATTATTCACAATGTTTTCACCTAGGGTAGGTGATATAACCCCCCCCAAAAATAAAATAAAAATACCGTATTGTCCCGAATATAAGACGATGTTAATTTCTTGGAAATATATCTGAAAAAATGCGGTCGTCTTATATTCAGGGTCTAGACTTTGACATGTCAATAATACACCCACAACAATAGGTACGTAATGTAATGTGTGTTGTAAAGATCGTGAGTGAAAACAAAAGAAAAAGAAAACCTTACAGCTGCATGAGTCGTGACTGTCACGTTAGCCTGATGGCAACAAACTCCCTTTGTGATTTTAAAACGTAAGACAGTACCCAGATTTGAAGACTACAGTAAGATTTAACTTCTACTGTTAATAAGATTTTGGTATATATATTACAGTAGGAGTCTTTTTATTGCACAGTAACTGTGCATCGCAATATGAATATTTTGCTGGAAACTCAACAAAATATTATTTAGATTGTATTAACCAGGTTCATCCATCTATTCTCAAAAGAGCTTGTTCTCTGTAGGGTCGTGGGGATGCCGTATCCTATCCCAGTGTTTGGCTTGTTTGTATTTTCGCTCAGTATTTTCACATTACTTGTTTCTTTCTCACATGTAAATAATGTGAATATAGAATAACGAATATATCTACCATGTTTAAAAATGGTATAGCAAAATAACATATACCATCCAGTCTTATTTTTCACATAGCAAGAAGCGCTGCTGGAGGTCTGAGAGAAAGTAGAAGCTTATTTCCCATGACATTGAGCTTAAGGTTACATAGATCTGTCACCACTACTTTTGTGGTTCTTGACCAGTCTACACAGCTCACTAGATCAAATGGGACCTGAGTGGCACCATGTAATTTCCCAGTTCCGACCTTGGCTCTGGGTACCTGAAGGGAGTGTCCTAGAATCGAGCCAGAGCTTTTTTTAAATTGTTACCGACAGAAGAGCAGGGACTAAACAGGAGACACAGGTGATTCTGGCGAGTCTAAACCGGGACAGTTTCCTTTTCAACCTCAGCATAAGCAGTGTGAGAATTTAAACCCTTGTCCCTTTTTCAAGAACCAACCCAAAACCACTGAGCAGATGAGAGTGGTACGACCCAGCCACTCCCTCATCCTGACAAACAACAGACTCTGGGCTTTGTCTCATCATCCTTTCCAATGCTTCCTAGAAATGAATCAAATGTGTCTGATGGGTTAAAAAATAGGCTTTTTTGTTTCACTTGACCAGTCATCTGAGGTTCTACCAGTGACCAAAATGAAAAGGTTCTTCCATTCGCGCTTTAATGTAAGATATAGCCCAAGTATACTTTTTTTCCAGACCAGACAAAGAAAAATAAAGTTCTACTCTACTCTCTCAATTGCATTGTTTCAATTCAAAGACTTATTCATACTGATCTCTGGTTTTGAATTTTCTCACTCTCCTGGGCTGCATTTCCCAAAAGCTTTGTAAGCCTAAGTTGATCGTAGCTCCATTGGTGGCAATGGTTCTATGATCAACTTAGGCTTACGATGCTTTTGGGAAACGCAGCCCTGCTCTGTTTGTTCTACGGACATATCATCTCTTATCATGCGGAGTAATGAGGAAAGGTGTGCTCTTAGTTTTCTAAGTGATTGGACGTCTGCCTGGACAACAATAAAACAAACAATTCTACAGATTTGTGATGGACAGTTCAAGACATAAGAGACTAGATTACTATAGAGGATCTTTTGACTTGGGTCAGTAAGCACCTACACAGATCCACCTACAAACCAACTAGCAATGCCACCAAGCAACCAACCTGAACCAACCAGTTAATTTATTCTTGATATGAAAGAAATGTCGCTACTTCCATTTCATCGCAACTTTAATAACATTCTAGAAACCACTCAGAAAACATTAGCAGTGATAAACATGTCGATGCTCATAAAAGAAAAACGATCAAGTCAGCTCAACATTGTGGTAAATTTTGTGCTGACAAATACTACAAGCAAAAATGTGTTCTTTCCGCATCAGTAACTCGAGCTTATTGGAAAGATCTCAAAGCCCTTTTTGCCAACCTTAGTTGAACCCTACGACAAATTTTCAGGACAACCACTGCAAGTTACCCTGTGGATAAAACCCCACACTGAGCAGCCCGCTAAAGAGAGGTATGGTTGACAGCAACACCCCAGTAAGTGAAACCGTCCTAAAACCAAAAGCCATTTCCTGCACCACAGTAGTGCACAACTTCCACTTCCTCAAGTGGCTCCTCGTGGGCATTTATAATTTAAGGAATTTGTAAAGAGACATAGGGCGCATAAGAACCTTGTTGTTGTTGGATACGACACATAACTTCCAAGCTCCACTTCTCTTGGCTTATCTTTGAGTGAAAACTCAAAAGGAACAGCTAGTTATTCACTCAAAATATACAGACATGTATTAATGGAGCTGGGAATGTTTCATTGTCTTAAATGGTGATTTTAGCATATGACTTTCTAGTGCTTAGAGGAAAAGGAACATCAGCTACTGTGGCTTTCATTGGATGACTCACTTTAAGCTGAGACAAATCCACCATGTCTTGGTCACAGATGGTACAGCCTTGCTCATAGTTCCACACATTGGGGATGTAGTTGGCCAAGTAATTGAAGTATATCTGTGGGAGAAAATAAAATGACATTTTAGGTATTTAGTTATTTATTTTTATAATATCTATAAATAAATAAATAAATAAACTTTAAAGCATTTATTCTACATGGTGTAGATGATTTATGCTCCAGAATAGGAAATGTACACCCATATTCCATCCCAGCTTGTAGTAGTTAAATCCAATTTTGGTCAAGACAGCAAACCAAAAATGAATCCCTCTGTCAAATTTTCATGACCTACAGTAACTAGAACTGCAATTATGGTTGGCCTGTTACTTTAGATGTATAACACAACTTACATCAAAAAATGAGTTTTGTATCTCATTTGGAAATTTATAGGACAACGTCGCAGGGAGGGACATGTTGCATCTGATGTTAATTTGAACTGTTCCGAAGGGAATGTTGTTCTTGTTCTTGAAAAAGCACATTAGCTTATAAGAAACAACTGTTTGTATCTTAGATCAGGACACTGAAACAAAATTACTTGTTACCATAAACAGATTGCCTCAAATGTTGCCAAAAAAGTAAACCTTAACTATTTATCTTTGATTGATGCAATAAAGGTGTGAATTTTGCAGGGACCCACCCTCTGTGAAGCCCATGGGACACCACACCAAATATTATTTACACCAACAGACATTTGCTATATTTACCCCTACAGTACATTTGTCACACACAAACAGAAGACTACTGTCATGAACATTAGAAATAGGATAATCTGGCAAGATACAATGACAACATTTAATAATTTAGCAGATACTTCTATACAAAATGGCTTGCCTTTATATATGTTTATTTATTTATTTAATTCATTCATTCATTCATTGAGAACGGTCCATTGCCTATACCTGGAAACCAGCTTTGAGTTTTTGTTTCCTGGAAGACAAGTCTGTGTTCCCTGTTATTTTGTTTACTGGCTGTTAGATACAGATTTTGGAAGGACAGCTGTGCACACTCTCATGCTGCTTTCGATTACAGGAAGTTAGAATGTAATAGAAAGGAGGAGATCTTCAATTCAATCACAACCACATTACAGTTGGTATCCAGATGCTGTCTTTCTAATTCATCCCATGTTCAGCCATGTTAGTTTTAGAAAATTTTACATTTATAGTTGGCTGCTAAGACTGACAACCCCTTGGAGACGCAGGTCGTGCCCTCAAGTGCTGTGAGGTCAATTGGTTAAACATTACTGACAGAAAATAGGAGTTGCTCACTGATTCCCAATGAAGAGAAGCCATAAACCAAGCAACTGGCTTCACATTCTGATCATAAGCTACTACTGTGTATCCTCAAGCCTTGTTACTTTTATTGGATCTCGTTTGAGTATTTACGAGAACATCTGTATTCTGCAGGGCACGTTCAAGACCCTGGAGATCAGAGAGATCCTGCGGGATGGACACGGGGCAGCTTGAATGAATCATAGAGCATAAGGCTAAGCTCTGGATGGATGATTATTCATTAGAAACAGCACAGATGGTTGAGTATTAGGAGAAGTTGACTCCACACAGGGCTATGTTTGTTTAAACCATCACTGAAGTGCAGAAGGAAAAGCTCTATGGGTCTGAGATTACATTATCACCCAGACATCCTGCTAAAATATCAAACTCTACAGCTAGGCAACGACAACTGGGCAATGACTGCAACATTTTCGGCCAAAAGACTGTCTATTATTTAATCACCAACTGTACAATTACAGTCAGGGGTGTAATATTGATAGTAATTCTGTTGTTTTCTATTGGAATTGTGTTCTAGCGAAAGAGTTTTGATCAACAAGGGGGAAGGTAGATGACAGAATTTTCGGTTTAAATTAAACTGAATAAGCCACGGAAGGTGCGAATGGATACACAATTTTAGACAAGCAAATATGTGAGTTTTGCCACTGACAAACACTTGTTTTACCTACAATATTAGTGACAATTATTGATCAGACATGCAATTAAAAAATCTGAGTGCCACCATTTAAATGACACTTCTACCGACTACTTGAAACCCCATTGAACCTACATTTAGAAGACTTCCAGGACCTCAGTATCAGTTATATGGTGTCCTAATAGATAAATCTGTGCTCGTCTTTGCCCAAGTCATAACATTAAGCACACAGATATTGGAAGTTAGTTTGAGTCAAGTTAAAATTTTAAAACTGCTTCCATTATTCATTGATGAAAAGAAAAAGAAGACATTTACCTTGGTGTTCACATTTCCATGGATAATGGATGGTAGACTGTTGTAGACAGTGTTTCTCACTCGCACTCGCTCCGTCCCAAACTTCAGGAGAACTTCATCTAAATTCAAAATAAGATTTGTACATTTTTACATTCAGTACTTCGGTTGAATAATTCTGTTGAGTGTTTTATTGTCCAGCAAGCAAACAATTGTAAGCCTGAGCCCTGAGACTAGACTTCTCCTTGACTAGGCCATATGATTTGAGGTGTCACTCATGTCTGCAGTACAAAAGGTGTGCGATGGGTTATGCTTATGGATTTGTTCAAATCCCTATATGCCTGCCTACCAAGAAGAGCTAAAACTAAGACCAAAATTGTTATGATGAAAAATCTAAATAACTTTGGCATCCCTTTATTCATCAGCTATGATGCAATATATGAAAAAAAATGAATGGTTGTTTACTAGCAAGTTTCATACACCATCTTGGATTGACTCACCCATGGCTCCGTTCAAATTCTGGAAAATCTCACACTTGTGGTCCAAGGTCATATTAAGTTTTTCCTAAAATAAAGAACAGAACACACTCGAGTTTGTGTAAAAGTGACCGTGTGACCTTTGTCCTCGTGTAGACTGTTTATAGTTGTGTATTTTTAACCAGTTTGTTTGCTTTTGAGTGGTATGGTACATTTGCAGGCGTTTTATAAGTGCATGTGGTCAAGTTACAAGCACATTTATGTTCTCACAGAGTGCAAAGACTTTCTCCACTCACCCTCTGAAGTGGATCCACGTAGACCTTTGTGTAGAATAGCTGATCATCATCATTATCATGAAGGTCCCACTGGTTCACAATCTTCTGAATGTATCGAGCATAGCCAATAAAGCCTGTGAAAGACATTGCAATGTTTTTACGGACTGCGTGTTGTAAAAGAAAGTATAGGATGTAATGGAATGTGAGAAGCATTGGCATTATGGGATGCCTGGACACAACAGTTCCAATTTCAATTACATCTCCTTTGAGAGGCTTAAATCTCACTTCCAATTTTGCTGTGGTTACTCAAACCCTCAGAACAGTTGGATGTCTGGCAGAAGCATCTGACCAACCAGCAACAAGTGTTGTGTGTGGCCACGTCTGGCCACGTCTAACCTCAGATGGCATAGACTTTCTACATCTACTCAAGACGGAGGACTGTAATCAGTATAGGACCTCAGTTATGTGCTGGCTCTCTGTGTTTCTGTAGCAACCTGCTTACGGATTTCTCATCATTTTCCTGAAGCTCTGACCACAGATGAAAATTGTAGGGCTTGGAGCCTTAGATACCATCATTTGGCAGGAAACAGGAACTATGTTAGGTTACCGCCCTAGACTATTACATTTTCAACTCCTAATAACCTTATTCTATAGCATACATTCATAGGCTGATCTAAAAACCATCTTCAACACTGTTTCCAATGACTTTAGTAGGAATTCTTGACAGTACAAATCTGTTCAGAAGCACCATCACATCTCAAATGATTTTACTGGAAATCTAGCGCTTGAGATCTTTCAGTCCACCAAAAGCCAGAAGAAGATAAACAAGGCAATTTTTCAGGCGAGTATGATTTAAATGTTAGTTCATTCACTAAATTAGCGGATCGTCTTTTTCTGAAGGCAGTCACCTCAGATGTGGTGACATGAATCTTGTTTTATTACAGTGCAATAAAGTAAAACCCTTGACATAATGCCCAGGTTAGAAAGCAATAGTTGAAGCCAGATGTAAGGCATTATGACATGTGGTTTTAATCTAGAATCCAGAATGTTTTATTATTTTTTTTCCACCGATTGAAACAACGCTACTTTCAACAAACTTGAATTTGGGCAAAGTAAGGGATGATTGGAAAGAGACTGGCCGTGCCGTGCAGTCTTTCTTATTTCCACAAACACACTGGTCCACATGACATCTCTAGTCCAACTGAAACAAAACAGTAGCCACCGCAATCTACGGAGCAGCCGAAGGTATAAAACCAACCTTCAATTTTGTATGTACAGACCATCGAACAGGAAGTCCAACACAAACAAACTTGTCCTGTTAATGACACAGACTCAACGCCCTGACAGGACACTACACAAGACAAAGTGTCCACCACAGTCAAAGCAGTAATTGACCAGATCAAAATAGACGAGATCAGGACTACAGAGTTTAAGACGAGCAATGACCACAGGGTTTTTGAGTAAAGAGGGGCTGACATTAGTGTTCTTCAATGGAGAGACTGAGTAAGATGGATGCACACGTACACACTCTCAAATGAAAGCACCATTCATGAAGACCCCTGAATGAATAGTGCACTATGCCTGGTGGCCCTCAGGAAATTCCACAGGGTGAGTGACCGCCGCTTGGCAGTTTACACAGAAAACATTTTCTCTATCATTTTGTACCGATAATGAAATTCCGCTGTTTGTCCTTTGCTCTCTCCTAAATCACCCTGCTTCCATTGTTCTAGTTCCTACCAGACAAAACAAACCCACACAGAAGTGTCTGGTGCAAATTGTGCTATGATGATACGGCTAATATGGCAGCTGGCCATGACCTATCCCAGTGATATGCTGCCTGAGCCGAATTCGTAAAGACTGACCTCCCAAATGCATGAAGAAACATGTGAATGTGTATACATAACATGGAATGCTAAAAGAGTATAAACCATTAGGTGTTATAAGCTGTGAAGAACCAAACAAATGCACAAATTAATTGTGCACATTCTTAACATACCAGTGCCTTTAAACCAGATTCAGGCAGCCTGTTATATACACGCTAGCCATTTAACTAACTTGCTCAGCAAAATTGTCTTTAACTGTTGCTCCAATGTGGCAAGATAATGATGCATAAAAGCTAGAAACATTTGTGTTCATATACATGAATGGTTTGTTTCAGACTCTCAGTTCATTTACAAAATGCAAAATGCATTTACAATTGAAAAACAAGCCAATGGTAAAAAAGTCTAATAACAGGGACTAGTTTTACAGTCAAAGTGTAACCAGATGTCTGCACAATGAATAAGCTACCAGATTGGCAGTAAGGATGTTTATATGTAAAATGAAAGTTGTCGACCTGTTATATGCAAATATCAAAACCTGACAATTTCAAAATACTGTATCACAAAAATGCAGCTGATTCTTCATACTCGTCAGCATTTTTTGTAGCCTTCTACGCATGTAGACACATTCATGACAGACTTATGCCTTAAACACTTTATTCAAGTGAACATAGGCCTTAATGTTTCTAGCTTTCATGTATGGTGTCTATGACCTTTAGAAGAATATCAATTAAGGCATTTGCATGACCATTTTTGGGTTTTTAAGCATAATCAGTGTACAACTGTGCATGTAAATGTTTTGATACAATATGAGAGCTGTGGAAATCCAACTGAACTGAACTGAATGAGTTGAAATCTCAATAACACAATGGTTTTGGGCCTGCAAAACCTTGATGTGTAACAAGTATGAAGTAACTTTCACATCAAAACAGAACATGCTATAGAGTTGGTATTTCCAATTTTTACACACCTCCAGAGTTAAGAAAGCGTTTCCCATTGCGGACAGAAGGATACTTCTCTGCCAGTCGAGAATCTGGCCAGATGATTCCCTCAGCAGCGAACACCAGCTTATGATTGGCCTTTTGGAACTTTCTGAAAATCTCCTCAGGTCCACCAGCAAAGATGAGGTCATAACTGAAGAGGGAAAAGAAGGAGTATATTAGTGTGACGAGAGGGGCGGGGCCGAGAGCCGTGGGAATGGAGCGAGGCCGGTGGAGTAATTGCTAATGCGCGACACCTGCGCCACTCACCGGTCTCAAGTCTCACGGAGGAGCTCCGGAAGGATAAAAAGGAGGAGGGACGACAGTGAAAGACGAGAGAGGACCAGGCCTGGAGTTTATTTTGTGTTTTGTGTGCGGCAGTCGTCCGCGAGGGGCTGCCGCTTTACTTTCGTTTTGTGTTTGTTTATTTTATTAAAATCTTTAATGTTCGCCGGTTCCCGCCTCCTTCTTCCCGATCTACAAACTACGTTACAATTAGTTATCTTGTTCACTGCACTTTCCAGCTGATCAGCAATTCTCACATTCAAGACAATGTTTGCTAATCCATGTCCAGTTTATTTAACCAGCTATGTCTATTTTAACTGAACTCCTAAAAGGGAGGGGAGGGGAGGGCATTTCGGTCTTCCATTTCAGGCACTATTAATATGCCTGGTAACATTAGTAACTATAAATGTCATCAGAGGAAGTAAACTGTGAGGGAGGCACCATGATTTCCCTCTCACACGAGTCATTTCCCTTTTTCTAGCATGAAATACAGAGTTCTGGCATGAAACTCTAGATGGCGCAGTCTGATAGGTCTAACTCAATCTGACCTAATGACACCATTATCACATGGCACAGCAGATTGGTTCTCTCCTGTATTGGTAGCCAATTAGCTCGCTGCTCAACATTCAAATATATGATTAGTGCTTGCCGTAGCAGTTGCTGCTTGCTTCAGAAACTCTCCGCCTTCCCCAGCTCCACCTGTATAGATCTGCTACGAGGTGATTCATGTATGCTATATGGGGCTATTTCATGTATGTTATATTTGCAGCAGCAATATTTCTTACATGCTCACAGCAGCATGTTGTGGATGTATTGGCAGTAGCAAGTCTCGGTACTTGCTCTGCTGCAGCAGCAGCAGCGTAGCAGATCTATTCCGCCAAGCCCAAATACGTTAACATTGTCATGTACATTACCATGCCAATCCCTCCGAGAGTTGTCATGACAGAATTAAAATTCATCTCTGGAATATGTGACATAGCTTCAACATGGCAAAATGGTCTGAAGTACAGCTCTAAAGGATCTATTACTGTAAAAGATATTTCAGATGAACCCTGAGCTCTGATTTGCTAGCTCCTTACCCAAATGTTTAGGTTATACAAAAGGGTAACTATTCTCTTACGTAAAGCCCTGAATGTTGTTATTCTGAACTTTCTATACTCTAAACTGTTTAGGGGACCTAGAAATATGTGTAATTCCAGATATGGGTGTGTATAAATAGCTGCTATAGCGCTCAAAGAGTTCTGTGATGAGGACTTGATTCGATTTGAAGTGTTTTATATAAATGACCCCTTGATAAAACAGCACTGCACGTGGCATGTACGTGTGAAGTTAACGCTAATCTTTTTCTACTTTGTTATCATAATAATCGCTCATTTCTGCAGAACACACCCAGACCTGCACCACAACAACTACAAAAAAATTTACCTCTCGCCGCACTTTCATTATAGATTGACATGCCGTAATTTCTCTTGAATTATCAAGTTAAATAACAGGCCATTTATTATGGTTGATTATCATAAATTGAGTGAAAAGCCACCATTTCGGCAAGAGCGTTGGTTATTAAGGTAGGTCTACAAAATTGTTGAACAAATGCCCAATCGTTTTGCCTTTACACAGAGTCTTGTTGTTTCCCATTGAGTTGGCAGTGATTTCTCCCACTGAGGCTATTGAAAATGTACAGTATAAGCATGACACATTTGTTATAGTTGATGAAAAGATACTTTTTACATTGTACAAAGCTATGCATTTAACCAGTCATTTTGTCTATATCTAGACAAGGTATTTTCCTGTCATCATTTACTTTCAATTACAGGTAATTACTAAAAAGTATTTTGTGGCAAATTAGAGTATATTCCCAGCTAGTCTCCACATAGAGAAATGAATACTGGTTCCCTTTCAGTCGGTCACTACGAGTCACGTCGTGACCGACGAATTGGGATATCGCTTCGATAGGTATGTCTCTCGTATATAGACCAGTATTTTTACTGTCCAGTAAATCTGATGCCATTTAAATCGGGGACTTGTCACACATTAGATTGTTAAGAAAGGTTTTGAATCCTGGGCTATCCTGGCAATCATAATCCTGCATGTTTCAGACTGTTCATACTTTACCCACTATTAGTAGTTGCCATGCAGTGCAGTTTAGAGTTATCACAGGTTTGATAACATAGAGTCCAAAGTGGTGCTAACCCAAAAGTGAGAGATTTAGGTTAAATGTTTCATGTCGTTTAAAACACAAAACAATGTTAACCCAAGATTTAGTGTGGTGAGAAGTCTGTTAAAAGTACACCAGCTGTACATCTTGGCTGAGCACCCTGAAAAAAAAAATGTGTTTCATGTCAGAATATCTAGCTAATTAATTTTACTAAGGGTTAAATCAGGTAGAAAAGGCCACATTTGTATATTACACTTTTTAAAATGTGATCTTAGCGGTTTAGCTGACCATCTGAAAAGTTCTCAAATCCTCTTTAAGCCCATAAATCTATTACAAGAAACCAGCTTCTTGGCCATTTAATATCATCCAACCATTTTTTTTCAACCCTTCAAATGACAAGCACATTACCTGTCCACAAATAAGACCACCAAGTCCTCTTGGTCAGCCAGAGACTCCATGGCTTCCTTTAGCAGTCGAACCTTCTGGCCTCCACCGATGGATCGACCCACATCACCTCCCTTCCACTCCTCTCCCATCCCCAGCACCTGCGTTCAGAATGTACCAGTTCAAACAGAATCTCAATCAACATACTAGGGTTGTGACAGTGAGGACATTTTCCCACCGGTTAATCGACGTGTGACAACACCGTTAATACCGGTATCACTGTGGGGGTGGGGGCGTTCCCTCTTTTCCTCACTTTCCTTCACTTTTAAATAGCTTGAAAAAGCTGCGTGCGCATTTTACTTTCACTTTCAAATAGCGGCAATTCGGCTTAAAGCAATTGATCGTTTTTAGTTCGTTTGAATTTCCCCTCTTTTCCTCGCTTTCCTTCGCTTTTAAATAACTTAAAAGCGCCGTGCGCATTTTACTTTCACTTTCGAATTAGCGGCAGGTCGTTGTCTCAAAACGACGGTGGGGGTCGGTGCCGCGGTGGGCAAGTGACATAACCGGTGTTGCGGCTTAACACCGGTATCACCGTCAGCACCGTCTATCGCGGCAAGCCTACAACATACTACTATCAGCTTGAAGAAATGAAGCATCCATCAGGTGAGAAGCAGTGGTCTTGCACAATAGGATGAAAGCGTGGTCGAACCTTGCATTGCGCGATTGGTAAAACTGAGAAATAAACCTTACCTTCACATTGAATTTGAAGTAGTTTGCTGACTGCATGAAGCGGTGGAAGCCATCCGTCTCCTGTGTTGCAACAGCAAGTACAAGTAGTTTTTCTGGTGACAAGAAAATTGAGAAATAAAAAGTGTATGTTAGAAAAAATGAGGAAATGTCTGGCAAAGTAAAACAGTATGACCTTTTTTTGAGCGTAGAGTGTTGAAGTGTAGAAACACTACTATTCCTGGATTCTATTCCTCAAAAACCTTAAGATATTTAGGATTCTTTAAGTTAAAGTTATCCAAAACCCCGCCATTCCCTAAAGAGCCTCTTTACCAAAATATATATCTTGCTTTTTGCCTACAGTATGAAATAGAGGGTTTCTTGTTACTCCAAACCAAACCTCAAACCTATGTCAACACTCGCAAAACTGATTCCCAAAGTTCATCCCTTCCTCTTGTGAAAATAAATGCACAGTAAAGTTAAAATCACCATGATTTGAAATGGTTTCGGAAGGATATGTTATATAATGAGTAGTAGTGTTACATATGATGGCGGTAACAGTGGTGCTGATGGTTAGTTAGCAGAAGAGGGTCTTAGTTTCGCAAACACCCGCTACATTTCCGCTGGACGTGCCAGTGAGCAGGTACAGACTCTCTAGTAGAGCAGTGTGGGAAAATAAATTCCAGACTGGGGTGTGAAGGGCTGGGTAACTTCAATCATCCGTCATCTCTCGGGTTTGGAAAACAGCCCCAGAGAAATCTTAAGCAAACTTGAGAGAAAGAAACAGGATGTGTGTTCGTCATCTGTAACACTGCAACACAGTGCAGGTTTTACAACTGTACAGATTAAAAACAAATGATAAGAATGTAGATTGAAACCTCAATTGCTCTTGCATGTGATGGTGTGGCCTTCAGTAACAATGCTTCAGTGCTTTGATTTACATTTAAAAGTCATTTGGTTCAGGTGATTGGCTTAAATAAACTGGTATAGAGAATGAAGAGCCCAAGTTCAAAGGTGTCACAATACAAGCTGTCTTTGCACACTAAACTGGGTTAGAATAAACTATTTTACCACTGAAATAATAAACACTGCACCTTGAAATGTTTTCTCTACGGTAGGGACAACATGGGTAGTTTTCTAAATATCTCTGGTGGAAATCGGGTTGAATGGGAAGTCACAACAGGTCAGCGTCTTTTCCTCATTCATGTCAGAGTGGAAAACATTATTAAACATTCAGCAATAAAATGGGGATTTATGGCAGGAGCAACAGGATTTCTCACCTCATAAAATGGCTCAACTGAACCATTTAAGAATAGAGTGTGAATACTCTGTATGTGCTGAGCCAAGCATGGGAATGTAATGCTAACAAACATTTAAAAAAGTTTTTTTACAATTAAATTTCTTGGACAGAACATCCTTAAACTTTGCGTCCAACTGTCAGCAGTGTAGAGATGGCAAAGAAGTGTGCAAAAATCTAGCCCCACCCTCTATCTTTTCTCATTCAATGTTTTGTTTTACATCAGAATACTGAAGTAAGGTCTTAGGGATTTTTTTCCCCTAGTCCCTGTTGCATTTAGCTTGCATTCTGTGACTCTAGGCTCTCATCAGCATGGAATAGACATACGTTTGTATACTTTAAAACAATTATTCAGGGGACCTGTTACTGTAAGTTAAAAATTTGATTTTAATAATTTAATTAAACCTTTTAAGTTGCAAACATTATTTTGTTGAGTTGGAAACTTTTTCAGGCTTCGGATTGGCCAACATGGCTTTATGGTTGAGATTATATCGCCACCTGTTGGCTTGGCATGCTCTTGACAGTGCTTCATAGCATGCTTTTGCATTTTCATGTGGACGGAGATTTTTTTTTTTTTTTAAATGAAAGAAGGAAAAACTCTGTTTATAAAAATACCCATGTACATGTGGAGATGGCCTTACTTTCAGGGGGTCTTGCATCATTCTAATAAATATTTGCTTTTAAAATGTAGAAAAAGTGCACAGCTTCCATGTAAAGGTATAGGAAAAGAGCCAACATATTCTGAAGAACTCATAACAATGGGCGAACACTTCTCAAGAAAAGCCTGAAAACCTTGGAGACTGTCACAATGCAGGCTCCATGTTTTTTTTTTTGAACTGGAGCATGCTCCATCTGATTCCCGTCTACACTCCAGACAGAAAGGCCTGGTTTCTTTCACATACCTAAGCTATATGCTGTTCTATAACATGCTGCAAGTGTTTAATCTGCTCATCTGGATGCTTAGACGGTAATGTTATATCCAACGGAAAGCTGCTAGAGAGTCATGCTGGTCACGCCATGTGTACACGGCATCCTATAAATGTCCAGGTCTCATTGAGCCTTGTTGTCTGAGAAAGCCCCTTTCTGTGAGCAGGCTGGGTTTAAAATAACAGCTGGGGAAATCCATATAGTGAAAGTGTCTGGACTGCTACTCTTGATGAAATGTGATATCTGCCAACCTTCCTCTAGTTCTTGTTCGGTGGTTACGTCAGCCTTAAACATGGGTCATGTTAAAGAAAATCTGAAGTCTTTAATCATTGTAAAATCCCATGGGCAAGAAAAAATATCTTTGTTTCTTTTACACTGAGATTAAATAGTAACCACATAGTGACTTGCTCAAGACCCCAGTAAACTCAAATGCATTTTCTCTAGGAGTTTCAGAAAAGATGTGCTCAGATTTGCCAAATTCCAAGTGTTTTATCAAAAGATCTCAATATGAACTCAGACATTTCTTATAAAATTATTGCAAGTCCAAATAATCTTGGCTATGATAGTCATCAACTTTTAGCTCAATTTTCTTACTGTATCCCAGAAAGTGTCCAATTTGTATCTATTTTATTTCTCTTATGAGATCTTAGGATAATTATTTCATGCAATATTGATACTTCAATGAAATATAACTAAGGTCTCAATGAAATCTTTAAAGCTTTGAGAAGCAAGCATTTTAATTTTCCTCTGGGATATGTAAATCACAGACAAATCAATGAATGAATGTTTAAACAAGATGTACTGAGCTGTTTCTTGGTCAGAATCAACATCCAAAGGTCATTATTTTCTGAACACGCCAATGTTTCTTTCATTCGCATATACACCATTCTTTGCCAATCTAGAATTTATTACACCTTTGGGACTGGTGTTTCTGCAGACGTGCATGTATCTTTCAATATTTTCTCCTTGTACTTATAATAAAGTTTCACACTAATCCATTTCAGTGTATAATCAATCACAACACAATATCCATCTGACTATTCCATTGTGGCTATAGAGATCTAAAAAGCCACACCAAAAATGAACCTAATTTATTTTGTTCGTTTGCAGAATTTTGGAGGCTATTTCCCAGCATGTCTTGAAACTTTTGCATAATGGATGAGTGTGGGCGACCGGGGGTGGATAGTTACATTCTCTCTCTGTAGTCTTCCCCTAAGGCCAGCAAATAAACACCAATTGCTTTGACCTGCAATTGACCTAACCTTTGCTCGATCCCTTAAGACAACAGCAAAAAAAAAAAAAAACTGCAGGAGCCAGCAAAGT